GTTCACCAGATCAGCAAAACTGCTTATTTCCAAAGCCACTTGGTATCTGATAAAAGTGGTTCGTGATGGTTTTTCTCGGTAAGAAATATATCAGTTTCATTCCTGAGCTGAAAGAAGTGCGAAACAACCTTTCCACAGCTAAGCCATCGAAATTCAGTATAATATGTCAGGTCAATAAGCTCGGAATCACATTTACCAATACTCATTGGAAAATTAGTTCAATTGGTGCATTTCCACACAATTCTTTCACGGCCTGGATAAAGTCACATCGCGGGCCATAGTTTGGAGACCCTTGGGCTAGGCACATCCATAAACATCAGTGGTGAATGCATACTGTGTTCTATTTGTTTTTTTGCCAGTCTATAGGTACTGGTCAGTATGGACCAACAGTTCTCAAGAAAAAATTTCCTGAGGCCATACATAAAAGTGAAATATGTTTTCAGTGGGCACATAACTTACAAGTTAAAGCAAAGTGTTAGAAAAATGTGATTACCTTAATTAGCAGCATCTTACTAAAGTTGAACATGCTCATTGGTCATTCTTCCATACCTAACTGAAGAGCCACTTTAAGAATTTCATCCTTCAGTTTGTTCAAATTTTTTCAAAAAATTGAGTGCACTGAATATTCATTCACATCCTACAGTTGTTGGAAACGCACTTAAAATTGAAATGGTCACACAAGCAATATCCATGTAGCAATCTAAATTCTGGTATGTCACAGCAGAAATTCTCTGTAGTGGCAGTCACACAAAAAATGTGCTTCAAGCCTTCATCTTAGTGATGTTCCTTTAACAAATAATATCAGCCTGTTTAAAAGATCTCATTCATGATAAAGAAGAAAGATGTGTTTGAATTTCTTTGAAAGTTTCTAGATTGTATGTGGTAAATGTTGAAGATAAGATACTCACCTTTCTGGAAAAAAAAAATCCCTTGAGTGTATTTGGATTGGTCATTAGTTTTTCTTGAAAGATTGTAAGTCTTTCTGTAACTTCATTATGAACAGCCTGAAAACAGAATTTTAGAATTTCATCAACAGATTAAACTATTGTTAATTTTATTTTCTGTGTCTTGGAGAACCATATCAGTTACCATGCTTATAAATTTTTTGGCGATGCTTAACATAAATGTCATGGTTAGATTTGGGGCCTGTAGCTGTTGGTTTACAGCACTTAATCTTGGCAGAAAATTTCTCAGAAAAAAATACAGCAGTATATGGTGTTATCTGTTAATGCCCCCTTGATGTCAATATCAGCGTGCAGTGTAGGATTTGACGTTCTCACTGCAGTTATCAAGGGTTCTGTCATCTGAGTTATAATTCCAAATAGCCCACTGAAAGATGACCAGAATTTTGGAGCAAGATGTTGCCTTGATCTTCAGGTCTCAAGAGTAAACCAAGCCAGAAACCAGCATGAAGCAAAGCTACTTTCTTGCTTGACTTACTCTTCAGGCCTTAAAATGGAGGCCACATGTTCTTCTGAAACATCAATTGACTTTGAACAGACTACACAATGTTATATCCCAGAAGATGGAACTCTTCAGCAGCATCCAAGTTTCTCAAAGCTACAGATCTGTTTGAAATTTTAACTTTATACTGTTCTTTAACTTCCACCTTATATTAGCATCTTGAGATCAAATCTCTCTGCATCAACTTTTTCCTTTATTTTTTAGTTATTGGTAGTCTCTTCCTAAACTTTACAGCCACCAGAATGGTGACAGCATTACAGTCAGCTCCCTAAAATGAGCAGACCATCAGGCATGTTTACGAGTAAATGCCATCTTCCATATATTGGATTGTGATCAGATAGATTGTATGTCTTCCCATCAGGAGAAATCCAAGTATACTTATGAATTTTTCCATATGGAAACATTACACTCTTGACAATTATATTTTTGATGTGCCAAATTTTGCAACTGTAGCCCCATTATCATTACTAATTTCCATAATATAATCCAAAAGTAAATTTACATTTCCTAAAATCTATAAATTATCTTTTAAAACTTCATATTTTCCTTACAGGGCAGAAGGTTTTCATACACATGGGAGAGAATACAATGAGAAAATATTGAATCTTTTGCAGCGCTCTGCAGAACGATGTGACCAACTACATGGATTCCTATGTCTGTTCTCACTGGGTGGTGGTACAGGCTCAGGCCTTGGTTCTGCTATACTTAGCATTCTTGAGGATAATTTCCCACTTGTAGAGAGGTATGAATGGCTGCAAGTTGCTTGGATAGAATGCCATTTGCAAAAATGATTTAATACACACATTGTTTTAATCTTTTGGATGAATACATGTTGATGTTTTCTATGTTATAACACAGCGTATTGTGGTAGGTGTTTATGGAGAACTCGGAGGAACACAGTGTGTCTTTGTTTAGGGTAGAAGTGGTAGAAGGTATTTAAGAAGATGGGGACTTATGTTCCTCTCAAACTTCGATATCTACCTACCATGCTACATGGTGTCATCTCAGAAAACCATAGTATAAATCTTCAGTGATCAGAAAATCACAACTCTTATATATTTGGTTTAAAGAAATGTATGTTTTTAATTTTGCAGATATTAGTGTATTTGTGTATCTTAAATAAGCAACAACAGATATCTAAGAAATGTGTGTGAACATAGTAGTGCTTCTGATCATCCATGGAAAAATGAATATAGTGAGACTAACATGTGTCAGTATTAAGGTTGAGAACTTTTCACAGAATGGCCCATTCAGACACTGCTTACCCCAGAACATTGCAAGTTATGGTGAGTACCTGTAGTAGTTAGTTGCATAGTGCAATGGCAATGTTACGCCTGAACTCCGTAGAAATAAACACTAATGTGGCACAAGTACTGTTGCTACACAAACATGGCTATTTCAAAACTGTTCATTATGCTGTTAAGTCTGAAATTTTCGTTTCTGCTGATGACACTGTCTTGTAACGGAACTAATTCACAGCATTTCAGAAAAACTGGCAGGCTCCATCTTCGGGGCAAAGTGAATGACAGCAGATTTTTGCATCATACTACTACAGTGCATGTTTTCTTATAAAATAGGTAATACATTCGGTGATTATAAAATTATGTGTGGAGTATAGACTAATGGGATCCATATTTATGATCAGCATTGTCTAAAAAATTTAAAAAACAACATGTAACAATGCATGAACTTCTGATTTATTTCCTCTGATATCTCTGGTTATACAAAATGCAAATCTCTGTGTGATAGGTCTTACAGGGTTTTCATAATACACAAGGGATGTGAGATTCTGTATTGTGTGATTGTATAACTTGGTGACTTGCTATATTTCTGTAAAGTTGTTGTACACTGTAAGCTGCTTACAGGTACTCTTGTTGTTTAACCATCCTGACCAGGAAATAGTAATTTTATACACACATACAGAATAATGTGGGAACTGCCCACGTTCAAGCAAGCGTTGCAGTGACAGCACAAGTATCATTGCTTAGCAATGGCGAGTAAACAGTAATTGCTAGGTAAAGTCTACAATAATATGTGACTGTGGGAACCACTCACAGTGGATCAAGTGCTAGGCAATCACAAGCTAGGAACCATTTGCTGCTTAACATGGCTATTTACCTAGCCATTGCAGTTCCCACAGTAATACGAATTGAATTTCAGGGCTTTTACATTTTACACCTTATATTAATTTACCCCCCCTTTTTTGTTAACATTTACTAATTATTGATATTTAACCTCAACCTGACCATGCATTATCTTTTACTTTATGTCATGCCTGTCACTGAGACTAGGAGGTGTAAATATGAAATATTCACCATACAGAAAAATGTTTTAAACATAACTTAGTAGTTTCTTTATTTTTTAGTTATTGAAGTAATAAATGGGAATATAACCAAATGGCAATAAAAATAATCAGTAATTAACTGCAACTCCTTTATGAAGACAAACGTGCAATAAGGGTTTGAAACCAATTCCCTTAAATGAGCCTTATTTCTAGATTTGTGACCTGTGTGTATCCAGCAGGAAATGAGGATGTGGTTACATCTCCATACAATGTGGTACTGGCTACCAGAGAGCTTACACATCATGCCAGCTGTGTTTTTCCTGTTGACAATAAGGTAAGACTTAAGCAACAAAAATACAGTAAGTTGTTCCCCAATTTAATGCAGTATAGTGCTTTTTCATTTCAATAAATGTACAGTTTGCATGAATATTTTGAGCAGGCAGTCTCAAAACATTACTCCAAGGGTTTAATTGAAAAATATTTTAGTTTCATAAATTGACACTCTTGCCTTCTGGCAAAGTAAAATATTACAGATTTTATTACATGTTCTGAGTATCTCTTGTTCATAGGCTCTGCTGGATATATGTAGTCGCTTGAAGTCTTCAGGAAATAAGCATGGAGTAGCAGGGTACATTGCAGCTTGTAAACCATTTCAAGATATGAACAGCATTGTGGTTAATATGCTTCTGCACCTTACAAGGTTAAAGAGTCAATTTCACTGTTTTTAGGCTTGTATTCAGATAAAAAAATAGTATGTATATATATATATGTGCAAGTATGTATGTAAATATTCAAGTTACATGTAAGCCTGTGTCCCATCACTATGAAATTTAATGTAGACTTCTGGGACAGAAGGAAATAGGTTGGAATCTGTCTGTTCATGCATGCTGAAATCTGACTGCCCCTGAACACAGCAATATCAGTCAATAGCCATTAGACTAGGTCATACGATAGTCCCAGTGGGGAAAGCACAGTATGTGGAAAGCTTCAGAGTAAATACAATATAATGCAAGCAGCAGGATTACATCAGATCTTGCTGACTATTGAGAATGTTCATAAATGAAATTCTGCAGATGCTTTGGATAGCATATGGCATACGCTGTCCCAGTCCAAGGTATCGGAGATGTATCCCAAGTTCAGGGATGGTTGTTGAATTGAATTGAATTTATTTACATTCTATAAATCCTAAGTAGGTTGGTACCTTTGGATACAGAACAAGTCAAAAGGTTACATACATAAGTACAGGCAATTTTAGCTTAAAAATTAATATAACTTAATTTTACATCATTCTCTATTTACATTGAAGTATTCATCTGAAGAGTAGAAGGAATGAGCATGTAGATAATTCTTTAACTCTGATTTAAACTTTTTAGTATCATTGCCCAAGTTTTTAATACTTTGTGGCAGATTGTTGAACACTTTTATGCCAGTAAAGTAGACTCCTTTTTGATATACTGATAAAGTTGATGAGGGTAGGTGGAAGTTATATTTTTGTCTAGTATTCATGTTATAGACATCAGAATTTAATTTGAATTTATCTTTGTTGTAAACAACAAATAAGAGAAGCGATAATATGTATTGCGATTGAAGAGGTAGAATTTTTAATTTCTTAAATAATTCTCTACATGAATCTCTACTTCTACATCCTGTAATGATTCTAATTATATTCTTTTGTATTTTAAAAATTATTACACTATGTGAAGAGTTCCCCCAAAATATTAATCCATAGTTCATAATAGAATGAAAGTAGGCATGGTAAACCATCTTCAATGTTTCCTGTGACATAAAAGGCTTAATTGATCTCATCGCATAGCAAGCTGCATTTAATTTAGGTATAATTTGTTCAATATGTATTTTCCAAGACAGTGTACTGTCTACATGTATTCCAAGGAATTTTGTATCAAGTACTTTACAGATTAATTTGTTGGCATAACTGATGTCCAGATCAATTTGGTGGTTGTTTTTAGTTGTGAATGATATGTAATGGGTTTTATCAAAATTTAATGAGAGTAAATTGGCTTCGAACCATCTGTTTAAGGCTTCAAATACAATATTTATGTCATTTTTAAAGTTGTCAAATTTAGAGTTCTTAAATATTATACTAGTGTCATCTGCATATAGAATTGGTTTAGATTTATTGTTGATGGTTTTAGATAGATCATTTATGTAGAGAAGAAAAAGTAAGGGACCTAAAATTGATCCTTGTGGAACACCGTGCTTTATAATTCCCCAGTTTGAAAATGCATTATGACTGGAGTTTTTATTATTTATTTCAACTCTTTGATACCTGTTTTTGAGGTATGATTTGATCCATTCATTAGCTTTGCCAGTTATTCCATAGAAATTTAATTTCGATAGTAAGATATCATGATTAACACAATCGAAAGCTTTTGCTAGATCACAGAAAATCCCTCCCACAATTAATCTGTCATTGAGAGCACTTAAAATATCGTTAGTTAGTTCATAGGTTGCTTTTTCTGTTGTTAGGTCTTTCCTAAATCCAAATTGCTCTTTGACTAATATGTTGTTAGAATTTAAGTGTTCAAGTAGTCTATTATACATAACTTTTTCAAAGACTTTTGAGAATGAAGTCAATATGGATATTGGTCTGTAATTAGAGATGCATTTTCTCTCTCCTTTTTTAAAAAGTGGTTTCATTACAGCGTATTTTAAGCGTTGAGGAAAAGTACCTGATGATAAAGATTTATTACATAGATGATTCAAGGGTGAACTGATGTAAACAGAGCTTGCTTTAAGTAATTTGGTAGAGATTTCATCATATCCATGTGAATTTTTGGGCTTAAGGGATTTAATAATGTTTTCAATTTCCTTCCTTGTTGAGAATTTGAGATTGATATTTGGAAATGAATTGTTAAAGGCACGAGACAGATAGTATATTGGATTATTATTATTATTATTATTATTATTATTATTGGAATATGTTTTCTCAGCTAATGAAAGGAAATATTCATTAAATGCACTTGCGATAGCTTGTGGATTGTTAGTGGACTTCCCTTCAATATTCAAACTTTGTACGTCTTCATTAACAGATTTCTTTCCTGATTCAACTTTCACAATATCCCAGGTGGTTTTAATTTTATTGTTTGATTTTAGAATTTGGCTGTTATAGTTATTCTGTTTGGCTTCTTTAATGACTTTTGACAAAATTTTACAGTACATTTTGTAGTGACTTTTTAGTCTTGGATCATTACTGTCCCTACTGGCCAAATATAGTTGTCTTTTGTGTTTACATGAAGTTTTTATTCCAATTGTTATCCAGGTGGATTTGTTTTTATTTTCATTTTTGACTATTTTTAAGGGAAAGCTTGAATAAAAGATCCTCAAGTATGTGTTCAGAAAGCAATTAAATTTAGAATCAATATTATTGCTGTCAAATACATTGTCCCATGATTCATTACTTAATTTTGTGACAAAATCTGCCATCGTATGCTTGTTGATTTTCCTTACTGTTTGATATTGTTGATTACTGGGCTGAAGGTCAATATTATTTATTTCTATGAGTTGAGCATCATGATCGGATAAGCCATTTATAAAGGGTCCTACAGTATAGTCTCTTAATTTTGAGTTATCAATGAATATATTATCTATCGCTGAACTAGAATTATTTTGAACTCTTGTGGGAAAGTTAACAGTACTGGAGAGATTGTAAGATGATAACAAAGAGTCTAAATTTAGTTTCCTATTACTATCAATGAGATAGTTTATATTTATATCACCACAAATTATAAATTCAACTTTTGAACTATGCAGTACATTTAGGATGGTTTCTAATCTATCTAAGAATTGATCAAAATTTCCAGATGGGGCTCTATATAAAGTCAGTATACAAATATTAGAAAAAGGAGAGTCTAACTTTAGAGCACATGCTTCCAGATCCTGGTCTTTGCAATAATCTTCTAAATTTATTTTAGTAAAATTTAGGTTTTCATGTACAAAAATACTCACTCCTCCTTTCTCCAGTGTTTTCCTACAGTATCTAGCACCTAAATCCTTTGCAGTGGATGGGCTGCTCCATCATAGAATGAGAACAATATGAAACAGGTACAGGGAGTTATGTGCTTTGATCAATATCGTGTAGCAGGAACACTTACAGAGAAAATTGGAATTTCATTAGTATTTGCTATAACAGCCTCATTAAATATCCAAAGACACTTTACATCAAGAGGATCTGTGGTGAGCTTATCATCACAACAGGTAGCTGTCTGGACTTTCCCTGAAATACTGCCATAGGTTATGGAGCCTGGTATTTTTTTGTACTGTCCCAAAAGTAATGAGAGCCTAATGTTATCTAATACATAAGAATCAGTTTATGTTGGTCATTGTCAGAAAGACAGTATTTATCACTGACTATGAGACATCATTCAGTAACACATCCTTACTTTCACATCTGTGATTATAAAAGCCTTTGAGTAAGAGTAAAAAGTTTATAGAGGAATGTTTAAAGGATGAACAAATTAAAGGGACAAGAAAGGAATGAGGTAGTGGTGTAAAATGTATAAAGGAAAGGAAGAAAGAGGCGAGGAATGAAGATACAAAAGAAATATCTTCCCCCCCCCCCCAG